ATGGAGTCGGGTGATCGGCCCGATCCAGCCGTAATAGGCACCCCGTAATAGAGTAGAGATTAATATAGTTACTTTGCGCAGCAGCAGTGGTCAGTGCTTACTCTTTCCTTACTCTGGTATCCTTAGGATGTTGAAGGAAGGTGTGGGTTTCGGTCCTGTGCTAAGTGTGTAGTGTCTGTGATAGATGTGGCGTTTTGTTCCGGGACCTTTTTAACCTTATCCAGCTAGGTCCTTGGTATTCCTCTTGATTTGAAGCCAGATTCACGAGTGTGGTAAGATGTTGCCGCTAGTTGTTTCTGGATCTTTCTGGTTAGATGTCCGTATCATTTGACTTTTTGACGCGCCAAGAGAAATTTATTACTGGTGGTATTCCGGTTTGAGTTCCAGGCCTGTTCATTCCTTGATGTTGTCCTCCCAACTCTTCTTCGGTCTGCCTCTGCTTCTTTTTCCCTGGACACTTCTTTGCAGGATCATCTTGGCCAGGCCGGGTGATGTGTCCATTCCAATGCAGTTTGCGTTTCCTGACTTGAGTGAGAAGGTCAGCATATTATGGTCCAATTTCATTTTTGATCCATATAAGATTGTGATACTCTGTCCCCGCGGTTTTATGCAAAAATATTCTGAAATTTTGCAAGCTGGGCCCAAAAAATGTGAAATTATGCGATTCTGTTAATTTTAGCACATAATGATAAAGGAAAATAATCAGAAATTATGCAAAAAATGATCAAATTTTGCTAAATTATGCGGGGTGCATAAAGCCGGGGGGACATAACAATAATCATGTATGAGGCGAGATTCTAATAATAATATATGTAAGTGGCGAATCCAAGAGATTCCTAACCAGAGATAACCCAGGAGGAAACTTAATAATACCTGTTGAATTTTTGCTGTCATTACCGGAATACATTTAATCTAGCTCAACAAAACTTGCAGAGAAAAGGTTTTTTGCCCGTTGCATCCGGTTGTGAATTATTTCATTTACAGACAGAGAGACTGTTTTTATGTCGGGCGAGAATGATACGGGCTAGGCCTACACATCGCTATTGGTAAGCATTGTTATTCATGCTATAAATTTCCTCAGCACAAGAAAGAAAAGATGTCATGTTCGCCAACTGAGAACTTTACGAGATTACGCCGAAAAAAAAAACCCGGTTTGTAGTTTTTAGAAAGTTTATTTTATTTCAGTGAGTTTCTCACAACAAGCAATAAAGTCTTAACGTTGTCACGAGCTGGTGTCGGATTTCCTTGAGAGAGACAGAGAGAGAGAGAGAGAGAGAGAGAGAGAGAGAGAGAGAGAGAGAGAGAGAAGAGAGAGAGAGAGAGAGAGAGAGAAAAGAGAGAGGGGAAGGGAGGGAAGGAGAGAGAGAGAGAGAGAGGAAGAGAGAGAGGTTTTTTCTTGTTTTTTAGTTTTTAAATTTAAAAACAACAGAAAACCGATGGTAATTTAAGAAGTCTACCGGAAACCTTCCGTGGGGTCTTTTTGTATATTCTGCACGTATTTGTACACGCCCTCATCTGCCATTATTTATAATGCTCTGCGTGTCTCACACACTCCGCCCCGGTAAGTTACAGTTAACATTTAGATCTATTGTATGTTGCTTGGTGAGCATAGATGTATGTTGGTGAGTAAACTAGTCGCTTTTAAGAACAAAGGGGGCTATCCCGAAAAATGCTGCTTTGAGTAAATTGAAGGCAAAGTTTTTGCCCCTTGTTCAGTTTCTGTAAAAGTCAAGGAGAGTTTTCTCTATAACCAAACAAATATACACACCAAAGAAACCAAACTTCTCCTATAGGTAGGACAATGCCCACTTTTGGTGTAGGTCAAGATTTCTGGAATCTCCCGAAATCTGGGTTAGCCCGCTTGTTCTCAAAAGCGACCAATTATGACCATGTTTAGGCATAAATAGTTAAAATTGTGTCCGGCTGGCGCGGAGGGTTGCACGATTACACTGGTTGGTAGATCTAGATCTAGATAGGTCCGGCTATTTTTTATTCCCTTCGTTTTGTTTATGAGGTATCTATCGGAAGTCGTTGAAATGTAGTACGCTTTATATTCCAACAAGAAGGATGTGGTCTAGCTGTAGGCCTATGTGGTTAAATAATTGTTCTCTTACTTCTTTTTTGTGTTCTTTTCCCCCTTGGACTCCATTGGAACCTTTATTATTTCTGGGGTTTATAAGAAAATTGCACCACAAGAATCCTTCACTCTGGGGTTCATGCGTGTCCCCCTCTTGCTCTCACAGATTCACTCCACAAATACATCTGCGGCTCATCCCCGTCTGCTTTTTCTTCCATACCCCTCCCTCCTCTCC